TGCAGTTTTTAGCTCACAGTGTTGGTTTGGGGAGTTTGGGTGAACTTAACCTTGCAATGTTTTTGAGAATTCATAAAGTTCCAGCTAGACTTATATAAGCTTTTTTCCATCCAGATCTACCAGGAAAATAAAATGCCCTTACCATCTCATATTATGTAATGGAAGGGTAAAACAGAAAATAGAGGCTTGTAGGAATGTCAGCATTAAGAAATGACTTAATATGTTCATACCTTACTCAAGGTGTTAAGGTAGTTTCCTCCATTCTCTCTATTTCACAAATAACCATATTTTTCGGTACTATCTTTCAAGACTTAAAAATGCAGTCTCAACTCTATATTACAAAGGGCGAGTTACTTTGCTTGTCAAAATATATGAGTACAAATTTTAAACATCTATTTGACACTAAATTCTGTGAAAGTTGTAAGATGCAATCACTAAATTAGAAAGTTCAAAATCTAGTTTAAAAGAAGACGGACACATAGTGAAAATTAATAAATGCATAAGATGGGGTGGTATTCTATAAACGAAAAAATGTACCATATTTGCTATAAACAGTCAGAGGCAAAAGATACCTTACTGATTGCAGTGTTCAGAAAAGGCTTCATGTAGGCGGTGGTGCTTGAGCCTAGCCATGAGTGTTGGGTAAGATCTGAGTCAACAGCAGAGACTAGGAGGGGCAATTCTGCCAGTAGAAAGGCATGAACATGGAAGAAAAAAAAATCATATAGGGTGTTCTGTGGATAGGAAAGCAGGTCTGGCCAGATCAGAGGGTTCTCACTGGAGATGGTAGGATACCAATCTGGAAATGGAAATGGAGAAGACCTAACATTCTAGTCTAGGAATATTTGACTCTACCCTATGGATAGCTGGGGATTGCCTGAAGGCTTTTCAGAGACAGGAGTAGCATGATGATATGAAAGTTTGAGAAAAATATGGCAGTATTGGTATATATGCAGGATGGAAGAATAATACTGAATTTTTAGGGAGACATGAGTTAAAAATCTGGCCATAGGAGTGAAAAAGAATTGGTGAGTGTGAAGAAAAAAAAAGACAGAAAGAATTAATGCTATGCTGAGTCACTCTGTGGGATGGGGGGGAGCTATTGGACATAATGGCTAATATTTGAAAGTTGTGATTTGAGGAGGCTGGGAGAAAGGTGGTGCAAGGAGACTAAGTGTGCAAGAAATAAGTGCCTTGAGGTAGGGGGCATGGAGGGGAAGGTATCACTTTTGTCTTAGATTCATTCTTGAGGTGGGAACAAGGCATTTAAGTGGAAAGGCCCATTAGGCATGCGTAAGGCTCCAGTTGAGTAGATTCAACCCTATGCTGAAGATTTCCTTCTGAGTTCACAGCACAGTACAAATAATTATTCAACCCCCTGTTCCTGCTGATTAGTCAGTGGGTCAAATCAGTCACTGCAGCCATTCCTAATCAGTTAACGTTAGGTCTCATATCTAAAAGCCACAGACATACTTGCCCCTCTCCTGAAGTAGAATTTAGGAGCATAAAATTCTGGGTAGAATTCAGCTCCAGAGATCACTTAGAATAAACATGGTGCATAAAATCTCTCTGAATCTCTTCTGTTCATCCAGTGGAAAGAAACTATCAAACTTTGCACCCCACTGTTATTCCAGCTATTGCTATTTCAGCTCGATTTATAAGGAGGAAGATGAATTTACATGAGACCTGTCAGGGGAAAATAAAAATTGAACTTCCAGCTAAGTGCTAGTCCAATGAATATAGAGGGCTCCTTTCTTACCCTACCTTCAACCACATGAAAAGTCAACCTCTTTTTTTTTTTTTTTGAGTTCAGAAAGATTTAATTGCTATGAAAGCTTATTTTCAAACAATAAAAATCATAAATCAGAGATTCCTTACATGTAAGATTTATGTAATGCAAAATGTTCTCTTAATTTTCTCTTTATTTAATGTTTTAAATACAAGATATTGACACATAGAAAGTAAAATTTTGTGGGTTTATTTTTTTGTGTGTTTTCAGGATTTATTTTATTTATTTTTTTCTTTTTTTTTTAAATTTCAGAATCTTTCAGAAGTATAAACGTTTAGGTTACATATATTGCCTTTGCACTGCCCAGGTCAGCGTGCCCATCCCCCTGACAGTGCACACCTCGCCAAGTCAACTTCTTTTAATAACCTGCTCATTGTTTTATGAGAAAATGCCTCAAGATTCCATTTCTTTCTGTCTCTGTGTCCTCCTGCAATTTTTACTGGCTTTATTCCATCAACAGCTTATTATGAATGATACTGTGTCCTGATTCCCTCCCTTCCTTTTACAGATAAGGCCAGCCCACTGCACCCCCAAACAAGCAGTGAGGCCCAGGCAGGATGCAGGCTGGGTTCTGGCTTCACTTCTGTCACTTACTGGATGTAAAGACTTCAGCAAAAGACCTAATATCTCTATTTTATTCTTTATTCTCAAAATGTGAATTTTGATTTTTCAGTTAATCACAAGATTCCTATAGGTCCTTTTTTATTTACTTATCTTTTAAAACATTCTCTACCTTTAATAAGACTGAACATTCACTATCTTGGAATCTGCAGCATTGCAGGGAAAACTACATATTTGTGTAAATTATTGTGGCTATAATCCGTGATTCCTACTCCTAACCTGGGAATTCAACTCCGCTCATGAAACTTGCAATATGCTTTGATTATTTCATGCCCCCATCGGCTGCAATGACTGTCACACACCACATTTTCAGGCCTCAATGCTTATGCTCAACACAATGCAACATGCTCCACCTAATCCTCCCTGAACCTCCCCAAGATCTTCCCAGCTGCAATTAGTGCCTGTATTTCTGACATCATCAGTTTCTACATCTCTGTGGAATCATTACTATCATTATACAAATATGTACATTAAATGAATTTGTTTCCTTCTGCCCAAACCCACATGCAGCCACCATCCATTTTTCTGTTCCTGTTCAAAATTAAACATCTGGAAATGGTTTTCTACACTCACTTCGTGTATTCAACTCTCCCTCTGAACTCCCAAACCACCCAGCCCACCCCCAACACATTTGTTGACACCATTTCTGCCAGGATCACCACAACATCCATGTGACCAAATCAAATGAGCACATCTGACTGGCTTTCATCTGTCCTCTGGCAAAGTTGAACTGAGCACTCCTTCCATTCCAGAACCCAATCTTACCTCGGCTTTCATGGAATCACAGACTTCCATTTTTACTTCTTACTTTTCTGGGTGTTCTTTCCTCATTCTTGCCTGCCAATTCTGATTTTCCTACCTGTCCTTTGGTAATTATAATTTCTTAGAACTTAGTCATGGACCCATTTCACTACTATTTTTATATTTTAATCTCTTGTTGTTCTTGTTGGTTCATGTGGCATGATGTTACCATTTATATGTTGACGATTTCAAAGTTCTGTATTTAACTTTCTACTTGACATCTCCCTGTGTCAGTCTCACAGAAAACTCGCTTTATAAAGCATGGCTTCCCAGAGAAGCAGCTCATAGCACTGAATTGTGTGTTATTTCCCCTAGTGTGACAGAATTAGCTCAAGAGTTACATCAAAACAAGGACATTTTACAATTTTAATAAGCTTGCTGATAATGGCTGCATTTAAGTATTTATATATTCTTTAAGAATTATGTACAAGTTAAGACATTGATAACTTTGCTAGGTATTTTAAGAGATCTTTTCAGCCTCTGACACAGAGTATCAGTGTGTCCGGGTCCACTGTGATGTGTGTCACAAGTAAGTTATAGTTATAAACACAAATATTTGAGAATAATAATTGTATGTTCTTATACATTAGAGCATATGATTTTTAGATTATTTCACACACATTCTGAAGAGTTTTCTGGAATGGGAGAAAATAGGTGGAGTTAGTGCCAGCAAAGCCAGGAATTACACAAAGTCTGATTGGGACTTGAGAGGCTTCCTTAGAGGTACTGCTGATGGAAGATTAGAAGCTATTACTACATGTGATTTCCTTACTTTGATATTGATTCTTTTCAACTTCTTTTCACCGCACTAATCTATAGTGACCATATGGGAAAAGTCTCTGTAATGGCAAACAGTCGTATCCTAAATCTGACACACGTACTAACATTCTAGGACACGAAGAGGAGTCCCTAAATGGAGACCTCTCATTGCTGAAATCCATAGAACACACAAACATTTATTGAACATCTAGTGTGTGTTATACAGTCTGCTAGGCACTAGATACATACCAATTTTAACAAAAGAGATGATTCCTGACCACTTGAATTACTTTCTGCATTTTCGTAGAGACAGATCAAAACAAAACGAGCAAACAAAAATAAAACCAATAGCCCAATTAATATATTAGTACAAATTCTGATAGGTATCAACAAAAGAACCCAATGGATCTTCAGAAAGGAAGGAATATACACACAATTTAGGGGAAATAACCCTTTTTTCAAATTCTATTTTTAGTGATTTTTTTTTTTTATCTCTCTACAAGGCCAGACATCATTGGAATGTCCCCATTGTTAATTTCAGATACTTTATTTTTAGGTAATTAAGTAATGAATATAACATTCAATTACATTTTCTCAGAAATTTTTTCACTGACTTAACTGGCCCAAGTAATAAAAACTGTCAATTGTCTCTTTCTTTCTCTCTCTCTGATTATATCAACTTACTCTTCCCCTATAAATTGAATGTAGAACAAATATTGTATACAAACAAAAATTTACTGGAGGTTAAAAAGTTATATAATTCTAATAAAATAAGAATAACAAAATTAGCTTCCCTATTTCTTACCAAGAAGGTGAATTTTATAACCATTTTCTTAGATCTTATTTCTATTATCATGAAAAGAATAGCTTCATTGATGCCATTTTTTTTTTTTTTTTTTTTTTTTTACTATTATCATCTAGGAGTCAAGGAAGCAGAGTAATAGCTGGTGTCCAGGTAAACCACAGAGAGTATCCTTTGCCGCTTGACACTTCTGCACACTGTACTGCTTTTTAATGGAAAGAGACTCACCATTTGAAGTAGCCCTCCTTATCCTCATAATCAGTCTCCTTCCATTTGAAACCTGCCACCCGGTTGACAGCTGCAATCAAATGGGCTAAATGTTACTGCTGTGCTGAATGCTCAGGAGCCCGGCTCTCTAAAGAGGCCCCTGGGTGATATGTCCTCTGTGCTGGGGACCCACGAGAGCCTGAGGGTGGCTCCCTGCACCAGCCTGACAATGAGTTCAGCAGAACCTTGGTGGAGATGGGGACATTTCTGCACCTGCAGCTTACAGGGGATGTGTAAAAGAGCTTCCAACTCCAGCTTGTCTGATGGAAAATTAACATAACAAACTGATATTTCTAGCAGAAATTTAATCTTCTTTCCTAATGTGATCAAATTGCCAGGCAAGGCAAAAAGGCATCTAAATTGGAAGAGGTAGGTAACCTTAAAAACATGTAGCTGCAGCAAGAAGTACATTTGAAGTCTTTCAAGAGATAACACACTTCAAATAAACTAGTATAACTGGTACTCCACTACATTTAAAACACTTCCATTGCTATTTCAAAGGGGAGAGTACCCTGGTTGTGCCAAGGTAACTAAAAAGGTGTCCTGCATATGTGGGAGCATGGCACTTAAGTAGGTTCTAATCACTTTATGAATGTGGTATTCATTGCCTTTGCCTCATAGTCAGTGCCCAAGATGTATCTGTGAGAGCCATTTGTCACGTATCAATCTCCTGCTGGTCTCCAAGTCCTCCATTTTGCAGGGTCAGCTCATACCTTAAAAGGCAGGTAAACCCCATGCCTGTTCTTTATAAGTAGCCCACAGTTACACTCTGATGGAGGGAGGCACATCTTCCTGACACTAACGTGCTTGCAGGGAGGCGCTGGTGGTGGAAGGGAATGGAAGAATGTAAGTCATTCTTGGCTGTCTGTGTTGCTGATTTTCAGCTCTTGTGGAGTTTTTCTGTTTGCATTTCGTCTCCTACATGACCTGAGCATTTTCCGTGAGCCATCAGGTGTGGCGCACTCCTGCAGTGGCTGAGGTGCCTCCAGTGCAGCACTGAGGTCGAGCTGGCTGGGATGCTCCACAGCCATGCACAGTCCCAGCACGGAACCATGGGCCCTTATCTCAGGACTTTCCTGCTTCCTGCCCTCCAGAAGTGGCCCACTGCTCCTTGTGACCAGGCCCAGCCTCCCCCTATGTTGCCAATTCCCCATTTCTCTTTTTTTGGATCTCCCTCTGTTACCTCCAAGACCCCTCAACTCCCCAGTCCCCCATGTCCTGGCTATTCTTATGCATAGCAGTTTCAATTTCTCTTCCTGTTGCTACCAATCCATGAAGCTCATGGGCCATCGTGGTATTTTACTAAATAATAATAGTCCAATCCTTTAGCCAGTGACATGAGGCTAGCTCTTAAGCATATTATTTTTATCCTTTTGCATTTTATGAACTATAGGATATAAAGACCACAAGCACTACTGATTTAAAAAAATAAAGATTCACTTGAGAAAATATAGAAAATAAAGAAACAATGGGAAGATGAAGAGTTCCCAGAATCCGATAACCTACACCTAGTCCCTTTAATATTTTGGCACGTACTATGGTCTGAATGTGTGTAACCTTTCAAAGTTCACATGTTGGAAACAAATACCCAATGTGATAATATTACGGGGTAGGACATTTGGAGGTAAGTAGGTCATGAGAGCTCTGCCCTCACAAATTGGATTAGTGCCCTTATCAGAGGCTTGCCACTTCTCCCTGCTGCCATGTGATGACACAGAAGTCACCTGCTCCTTTGGACATGTAAGGATGCAGAAACAAAGAACCATCTACAAGGAATAGGCCCTCTCTAGGCACTAAGTGGTCCATATCAGAATGTTGTAGAAATACGGACGGCAAAGGCTATTGTGATGAAATAATCGAGGAACACGTTATTAGAAACTGAATGAGAAGCCATCCTTACAAAGTGGCAAAGTACTTAGCTTAATTGTATTTGGGTCCTAGTGTTTCATGGAAAGTGGAACTTACAAGTGACTCAATAACATACTTGGTGGAAGAGATATCTGAGAAGGGTGTTGAGGGTGCAGCATGGCTTCTTTTGGCTGCTCCTAATAAAATGCTAAAAGAGAGATGTGAATTAAAGATGAAATTTATAATCATAAGAGAAGCAGAACTTAAAGCCTTGAAAAATCTTAGCCTGGTCATGTTGTAAAGAATGAAAAAATGTGTTTGTGAGAGAACACTAAGGGTATGGGCAAACAATCACTTGATAAGGAGATTAGCACAGATTGGTGAAAGCCAGGTGTTGTTCATCAACAAAAGGCCTTTGTTGGAGATCATTAGAGCTGCCTCTCCCATTATAGGCCAAGAGTGCCAACGCCTGGGGGATAGAACAGTGTCACAAGAGGGGCCTCACTCAAGTTTCTGCCCCTGGAATTCCAAGTCTCACACTCTTCACTCCTCATGCTCCTCACTCAATACACATGCAGGCCAGGCACCGTGGCTCAAGCCTGTAATTCTAGCACTCTGGGAGGCCGAGGCCAGCAGATAGCTCAAGGTCAGGAGTTCAAATCCAGTCTGAGCAAGAGTGAGACCCTGTCTCTATTAAAAATAGAAAGAAATTAATTGGCCAACTAAAATATATAGAAAAAATTAGCTGGGCATGGTGGTGCATGCCTGTAGTCCAGCTACTCAGGAGGCTGAGGCAGGAGGATCTCTTAAGCCCAGGAGTTTGAGGTTGCTGTGAGCTAGGCTGACACCACGGCACTCTAGCCTGGACAACAGAGTGAGACTCTGTCTTTAAAAAAAAAGATTAATACACATGCAGCTCCAGTGGGCCCAGGTGCAGAACAGTCTTTGGTGGTGACTTTTCCAGAGAGCACAGGTGATAAACTTTGTCAGCATCTGCAAAGTGCCATCTCCACTGATGCACAGACTGCATGACTATGAGGGCTTGGCTGCCTCTACCCAGATTTCAGAGAAAGTTCTGAGCCCCAGGGTTCAGGCAGAGAACTGCCAGAGTGGCTGGGCCACCACAGACAGTACCCACAAGAGCACTGCTCAGTGGAGCCATGTGGGGGCTGGGGCTCCTGAGAGCCTGAGGGACCAAACCGCTGCCCCAGTCAGTCCTGAAGATGGCACAAGGAGTTCCAGCAGATTATTCTGAAGCCTAAGAGTTAATGTTGTTTGCACTATAGGGTTCTGGACTTACTTGGGACCAGTTACCCTTTCCTTCATGCTGTGTTTCCCCTTTGTAATGAGAATATCTATTCTATGCCATTTTGGAAGCATGTAATATATTTGACTTCTCAGGCTCACAGCTGGAGGAGAATTTGCCTCAGAACAAATTGTGTTATGAATTTCACTCATATCTGATTTAGATGATATTTAGATGAGAACTTGGACTTTATACCCTTGAGTTGATGCTGGAACAAGTTAAGATCCTGGGTGCTATTGGGATGGAATGGATTTTGCATGTGAGAGCTACATGAATTTGAGGGGTCCAGGAGAAGAATGCTATGGTCTGCATGTTTTTGTCCCCCCAAAATTCATATGTTGTAACCTAACAATCCAAAGTGATGATATTAAGAATGGGGCATTTATGAGGTGAGTAGGTCATTAGAACTCTGCCTTCATAAATGGCATTTGTGTCCTAATAAAAGACAAGGGCACCTGCTTGCCCCCTCCCTGCTTCTGCCATTTCAGGATACACCGAGGAGCAGCAAGACGATATCTATGAGGAACAGACTTCTTCCAGACACCAAATCCACGGGTGCCTTGATCTAGGCTTTCCAGTCTCTAGAACTGTGAACAGTAAATTTCTTTTGTCTCTCTCCTCTTTCCTTCCGTTTTTAATTATAGATTAATAAGTAGTTTTTAGTTGATTTTACTTGGTTTTATGTTTACTGTTCTACCATGTTCAAGTAGTCATATATATATAAATATATATATACATACACACATATGCATTCTTTCTTTAAACATCTGTAATAGCTACTAGGTTTTTGCTTGTTTGGGCTTATTGCATTTTCTCAAACCGGCTCTTGCATAGCACTTTATTTTGTTTCTCCTTTGACACTTAATCTTTGATTTTATTTTAATAATTCATCTACTTGTCTCTCTTCCCTATTTATACACTAATAGAGGACATGATGTAGCGGTCAGAGTTCAAAAGAAATGATCTAACTTCCTAACACTACATTACATAGCAAGTTTGTTTTTTTCTTTATTTATTATTAGTTAATTTACAAATATTTAAGTCAGCCCAGATTGTTTACTGTTTGAAAAATTACAGTATTTCCTTACAGTGTGTTAATTTCATTTTTACATGCGGGAAGAAGCCAGAGTGAATTGTTCAGTCAGTCATGATGGATTAGAACATTGTCATCATGCGATTATTGCTCAGAAATACTTTTTCTTGCTTTACTGATTGATGATCACCTTGACAATAATGATCCAAGCCCCCTGAATTTGGTCTTGAGAAATATAAACAGTGATTGATGTGTGGCCAACTGAACTTTTCAGGTTTTGTCAAATTGTTAGTTTGTTTTCTTTACTCCCATATCCCCAGCTAACAGAATAATGCCTGGGAGAAAACAGGCACAGAATATCTATTTACTAAATTAATTGTTTAATGAATGAATAATTGAACATTTCTTTGAAAAGTCTCAATAATAATATAAGTTCACACAAAAAAATAGTCTATTGTCATGATTAAGTGCTACTCAAGAATACTAAAGTTAGGTACCATGGATAATGTAATAAAATGGCATTCTATTTTGAAAAGATTACAAATATTTTATTTTTTGGAGATCTATAAACATATTAGTATATTATGGATACTAAAATGTTCCATAGTAAAATCATCTCTTTACCTGGAATTCTAAAAGATTTTTAACTAATATATATGTATAAATATGAAATATATATACACACACATATGTATGTCTGTGCATACTCATGTGTACAAATCCACAAATATATTTCTTGGAAATCATTCTAGGAAATAATTCCTAGGAAATTTTTTAAAATTTAACATAAAGGAAAATATTTCTTGATAATCAATGCAAACATATGAATGTCCCTCTTTTGTCAACCACTAAATACAGACAGTCCTTGACTTTTATAGAAATTATAGTTTGAGTACCCCTATAACCATTCTGCTTTTCACTTTCCATACAGAATTCAATAACTTACATGAGATATTTAACACTGAGTAGGCTTTGTGTTACATAATTTTGCCCAACTGTAGGCTAATGACGTTAAGTGTGGTGAGCTTGTTTAGGGAAACCTGGGCTAAGCTATACTGTTTGATAGGTTAGGTGTATTAAATGCATTTTTCACATGATATTGTCAATGTTTGCTAGGTTTATTCGAACAAAACCCCATCACAAGTTGAGGAGCATCTATAATCATATTAATGAACAAAATGTAGTGTCACCTCAGCTATTTACTACTAAATATTTTTAAATGTATTCCCCTCAGTGTAAGTTAGCTTCTGTCTTATCCTAATTGATAGAATCTTCTTTCCATTTCTGTTGCTACTAGGCTAAGCTCTAAATCACTGTCACCTGAGCTACCCCACTATCATCCTGATGGAGCTTGCAAATTTCAGTCCACTCTCCACATTCAAATGAGTACTTTTTTCTAAACTGCATATTCTGTATATATTTTTAGTATAATTTCTTTCTTGAAAATCTTGTATGGCACCCTACTGCTTTTGGATGCAAGTCTAAGCTTCCCAATATGGCATTAAAGGTTATTCAAAAACTACTTCTGATTTACCTACCTACTTCTTTATCCACTGTGGTTGGCATGTGTCCTGTGCTATTTAGAGCAAGATTTCTTAATTATGCTCAAGAATCAGATGAGTTATTTGATAAAAATGCTGATTTCCAGTTTGCCTCACCTGCCACCTGGACCTATGTCCATTTTTGACATAGTGTGCTCAGCCTTAATTTCTCCAAACATATTGCATTTGCACAGATTCCAGAATTTGCCATGAGTTCTCAAATTGCCAAGCCTTACTCATTACCTCTGCTTGGAAGCCCTCCATGTTCTCCTATTGAACTTACACTTTCAATACTTCTTTCAATATGATAGGATTAATCACTTATGCTACCATCCGATCTCAACACTATACTAATTTTTCTTCTCTCTTAGTATGTTTATTTTTCTCTTTTTTTGAAGTATGAGTATTACAATTGAATCATGTAATTGGGGTCCATAGTGCCCAACTAACTTTTTCTAATTAAAAATAGAAATTCAATGACTATTTGCTAAATTACTATTAGCAGTAACTATAAATATATTCTGGCCTTGATTTTAAAAAATTAAACATTATCAGATATTTATGTATCTGTGCTTCAGTGTGTTGAAGAAAAATGACAATTATAAGTCAACATTTATGTTCTCCATCTAGGGTGTTGCTTAGGTCTTCTGCCTCTCCAACTGTTTTCTAAACTTCAATAAAATCTTAAGTCTCTACAGTAGAAAAACGTATAAAACAGGAAGCAATCAAAGAAAAAAAATCTCAGTTTGACTCCATATAACTATTTGTTTGGGAAAATGTTCTCATTCTTTAGTCTTTTTGTTTGCTTGCTTCATTTATAAAATTTCTAAGAATAAAATATAATTGCTCTGATGAGCTCACATGTTCCACAGATTGCAATAGTCTATTTTTCTCACTAGAATTTAAGCTGCCTAATTGTGTGTATTCTGTATTTAGTTAACATGATATAGTCAGTGTCTAGCACAATGCCCTGCACATAGTAAATGTTCAACAAATTAATACATAAATAAATAATCTTGTATTTTAGGTGAAAATTGGGAGCACACAAAACCAAATCATATACTTTTTAAAGCATTTTAAATATTTAAATATTTAATTTAAAATTTAATATAATATAAAATTTAAAATTTTATATTATATTTAATATAATTATAATCATATTTAATATAATATATTTAATATTTAATATAATATAATTATATTTAATATAATTTAATATAAAATTTAATATTAACTCATTACTCATTATTTCTCACAACAATTCTATAACATGGGAACTCTATCTTCTCTGATGCACAACTGAGTAAATTTAATAACTGAAAGAAAAATTTTTTCCAAAGTTAAAGTTGGGAAGTAACAAGAGCTGTGAGTTACACCTGGACATTGACATTAGTCTATACTCTGGGTCTCTGTTGTCTCCTGAAGCTAGCAAAGACCAGGGAGCTCCTCAAATTATGCTTGGGCTGAAGTTTAAGAGAATACTTCGAGTAACAGTTTACCTCTTTTTTGTTTGTTTGTTTTACAAATTTAAATTCTCTTTAATATCCATTATAAAAGATAACAATTTATCAGTGCAAGTAAGATATTTTACATCGATTATAGCTGACAATAGGTGAATATTGTTTTGTGGGAGCACAAATGTTTTGGCTATATGAGTTACATTTGTACAGTTTTAATCAAAGTTACAAGCATGTCCACCACCCATATAGTGTGCATTGAACCTGTTAGGTGTGAGTTGGCCCAGCCCCTACTCCCCCCTCCCTCCTGCTTGATTTCTATGAAATTCTACTTCCCTAGTGCACATGAGTGCTAATCTATAAGTTTCAACTTGGTATAAGTACATGTGGTTTTTGTTCTTCCATTCTTGTGATACTTCACTTAAAAGGATGGTCTCCAGTTCCATCCAGATTTTCACAAAAGGTATTATTAGTTCACCATTTTTTTTTATGGCTGAATAATACTCCATGGTGTACTTATACTACATTTTCTGGCCACTAGTGGTAGCCAGTGGTAGGAGGGTGAGGATAAGCTCTCCCAACCCAGAGGGCTGTTCATGGGTGAGGTGGCTAAATACTTACATGCTCAGGCCCCGGCTGGGATCTTTCCACCCTTATCCAGGAGCGCAGTTTTCCTGTGGAGAGGCTTGGGCGCTCCCCAAAAGGGTCACTGGGGTAGCAGGTAGCGTAGTTTTTCTGTGGAGAGGCGTCGGCGCTCTCCCAAAAGACCACTTCTTGGACTCCCAAACATCCCATGAGGTTGAGTCAGGAAATGCTGCAAGGACGTGTAAACTGACCTGTCAGTAGCAGGCGCTTGCCGGAAGGTACAAGCTGCGATGCTGTTTGGGGTCCTGTGACCGGCCTTAGTCCCTCAGGAGAGGACTCCAATGCTCCAGGTGGCGGTGGGTGGCGACTTGGAACTTCCAGGTGAGTCCTTATTCCCCACCACAGCAGAGGCGGGTGGGGGAGAGCTGCCGGGCTGGGCTGGGTTGGGCGAGCTTGCCCGCAGGCTGGGTAAATGCCAGCAAGGTAGCTCTTTCGGCAGGGGTCAGAGATCCGCTCCAGTTTCTGGGCAGAGCCGCCAGGGAGCGGCTGACGAGGCCGCACCCAACCCAAGAGAGTCTGCTTGTGGGGAGGCAGGTCCGAGAGAGGGTCAGTCACACCCGGCCTGTCTGAAGTGGGCCTAGCTCCTCTTCCTCCGCCTGTGCTCCGTAGTCTTCCTACTTCCGGTGCTTGGCAGGCGGGAGCCCACGCCGACCCAGCTCCGGGAGCCTGTGCTCCCCAGTCTTCCTCCCACTTCCGGTGCGTGGCAGGCGGGAGCCCACGCCGGCCCAGCTCCGGGAGCCTGTGCTCTGCAGTCTTCCTTCTACTTCCGGTGCTTGGCAGGCGGGAGCCCACGCCGACTCAGCTCTGGGAGCCTGTGCTCTGCAGTCTTCCTTCTACTTCCGGTGCGTGGCAGGCGGGAGCCCACGCCGGCCCAGCTCCCCTCGCCTGTGCTCCCCAGTCTTCCTCCCACTTCCGGTGCGTGGCAGGCGGGAGCCCACACCGGCCCAGCTCCGGGAGCCTGTGCTCTGCAGTCTTCCTTCTACTTCCGGTGCGTGGCAGGCGGGAGCCCACGCCAGCCCAGCTTCCCGCGCCTGTGCTGTGGGCCGGCGTTTCCGCCCAGGATCCTGGCCTGAGGTGAAAGAGTGGCCCTCGTGTGGGGGAAGGGGCGCCCCGTGAGCTCCCACAGCAGGGACCCACACTGCACTGTCCCCCCCAGACCTGCCGGCGTGGGCCCCTCGCCTCCCTCCACCAAGAAGGTCCCTGACCAGGTGTGAGGACGACGCTCAGTCGCCAGCGCGTGCTCCGGCTTCGGAAATTGGAAGGAAAGGTGAGTGGCAGCGGGCAGGTGAGACGGGCTCTTTGTTGTCGCGGGGAGGGATGCAGCAGGGGTGAGAAGCAGGGCCAGGAACACGGCCAGCGATTGTATACAGCCCCGAACAATAGTGGCAGGAGTGCCAGGGGAAAGCGCGCTCACATGGGCTCACCCAGGAGGTGACACCTTGGTCACATACCTGTGCTGGCTCCCGCCTCCCTGGAAGGCTGGCAAGCGGGGCTCGGGGAGCCGGAAAAAACTCTGTGACAGTCATAGTAGTTTGGCCTAAGAAGCCTGTGGCCTGTACAAATGCATTTTCCCTTACATCACACCAAGCAAACAAACGCGTGCGTGTCCCGAGTCCCCAACGGGGTCCCCAGGCAGGATCAGTGTCCCTCCGCCTCGGCATGCCCTGCTCTGAGGAGCCGCTGGGCCAGCCACGCCAGGGAGGGTCGGTGAGCAGAGGGAGCTCACAGACCGGGTGTTCTTTGGTGGGCTGAGGACGGCAAGAGGAGAGGCCTGAGTCTCCCGCTGTGTGGGTTCTCCTCGGTGTGGTGGCTCAGTTGTCTCTTGGCTGCTGCCGGTGGGGTAGGGGGAAGGGGAGGAAAAAAAGTCTGGGTGGAGGAATGCCAGCGCTCTGGTTGTCTCTCTGGAGTTGGGAAATGTCTGTGTGGGAACGAGCAGGATGAAACCTGAGGAGTTGAAGCCACCTGGGGAGGACAAAGGTGCGTGGTGGGTGCAGAAGCAATATGGTGCCTGCTGTCCCAGCTCAGGTCTGTGGGGGCGGGAAGCGTCCCAGGGGGGCTGGGAGCCTGGTGACCTGGGCACATGCAATTCCCAGCTCACTGGTAGCAGCAGCAGCCTGTGGGCTCCTGTGGGCAGAAAGTCTCTCCAGAAGCTCGGATCCCACCATATGTCAGGGATGCCAGGGAGGGAGAAGCGAACCACTCCGCGTACCCTTTTTCCTGGGCTCCCAGCCTCTCAGTGGTTGATCTTTGCCAATACCTTGCTCCTTGGTGTTCCACTCTGCAGCTTCTTCCCATGGAGTCTCCCAAAGGCTCTGGTACCCTTCCTTCAGACCCACATCCAATCTATGTCTGTTTTTTCTCTTTCATCTAAAACTTCTCCTTTTTACTGAGACACTCTAGCAGCCAGTGTCTCTGATCAGCTGTCTTCTCTGTTTCCAGAAGGTGAGTCTAGTTAACCTCCTGAGAGTGTTGCTGTGCGTTCCCCAACCTACAAACAGAAATCCACTTCTTATCCTCTGATACCCTAAGCCCAACCTTGTTTTTGAGCAACTTCTGACCAAGTCTGACAAAATATCATTCGGTTCAAACCTCTGTTTGGTAGAGTGTAACTTATTCAGCAGTTGAAAAGCAAATATCTGATGTGCCTGCGCAATTTTTGGAACTGCATGTCTCCAGAAATGTAGTCCCCTCTCCTAACCACCTTCACGTTTGCTCTGCGTGTTTGTGGGGCTGAGTTTCTGACTGGTTCTTTTGCTGACCCACCAAGTAGGACACTTGCTTTGCAGTAGTTCTCTTGATTATGGCTCCAACATTCTGTGTATCGGTCACTGTCCTTTTCATTTAGGACTTGGAGTCTGCTCCAAAGAGATGGAGCATAAGATCATGATGTATTTCTTCTGCCCAGAGATGCCTGTTCAGTGAGAACACATCTAGATAACACATCAAGAAGAGTTTGCCAATTTCAGTTGGAAAGTAAAATTGTATTGTTGAATGACTGCTTGGGAGTCAATACCCTAGGTGGTCCTGGAGTAGGCCTGCAGCCAGGTCTTCCTGTTTCTTTCTCTTCTGCCTCACTGTTCTCTATTACTTCAGCATACCTGAGGTCTCCTGAGAGTCCTGTGACACAGGCAGGGCAGGTAATATTAATTTCTTAGAGGGAAGTCAGGCTTAGACCGGTTAAAGGACTGTTTCAGGTGGGAGATAATGACTTGAAACCGATTTTTCTACTTTCATACTTTTTCACTGAATGATGTAGATGATAGAACTAAGATAGAGAAATATACACAGTAGCCCCCACCACCATTTCACTTTCTGCAGTTTCAGCTCAGCTACCCACAGTTAACCATGGTCTGAAAATATTAAGTAAAAAGTTCAGAAATAAGCAATTCATAAGTTTTCAGTTGCATGCCACTCTGAGTAGCACCATGAAACCTCACTGAGTGTGTTACCGTTCAGGAAAAAAACAGTGTGCAGAGGGTTTAGTGCAACCCTAAGTTTCAGGCCTCCACTGGGGATCTTGGACTATATTGCCTTCAGAAAAGGAAGGACTCTTGTATCCTCAGTGGTAAAGATTCAATACAATAAATTTATAATTAATATAAATAAAATGGGAGTTGCAACTCATAATTCCTACTATCAAGATTATTCCAGAGCAGTACTGTACAATACTGCTTTTCATGGTAACACAAATATTATTTTCGATAAGGTATTCACTATTCACAAATGGCTAGTGCAACTTAGGAACTGAATTTTTAAATTTATTTGGTTTTAACTGATTTAAATTTAAATATTCACATGTAGTTGGTGACTATCATATTGGACACCATAGTTCGAGATTCTTAAATTAAGCAAATGGAGCTGATAAGTAAAATAACCAAAAATCTATCTCACTGCTCAGTAATCTATAGAACAATTTATTTGAAGCAAAGGACATTCAGTTGCCTTTGAAAAACAAACTCAGCCCCAAAGTGTAAAATTGTATATAACTAAAACTCTCTGGGAATGCACAGAGTTGTTCATGTGGTGCATGAGGCAGTATTTGGAAAGATGCCATGATGTCAACCCTACAGTCTGGTGAGATCTATCACTTCTGCTTACTTCACTTTCAGAGGACTAGTGAATGATTACATTTGACTCAAAATAAGAGAAGAAATGTAAATGACAAATAACACATTCTATTGCACACTGTTTGTGGCAGTGGTATTTTCTGAAAATAGGTGGGTCTAGGTCACTTTCCAGCCGTGTCATACATTGTCTAATGACACAATGGAGAGTGCATGGGACGAGAAGGAACACTGTCTCCTCAGGGAACATGTTTCAGCACTGTCTCCTTTGAGTGGCTTCCATCTTCAGCCCGGGGCTGTTTCTTCTCACTTTCTTCCTCGCATCATCTGTGACTGAGACACTGATTATTTTGTGGAAAGCCAGCTGCTGATGTGTCCCAGTAAACCCCAGGAACAGTGACTTCAGACTCAGACTCTATTTGAAGGAATAGAACAAAAGTCTGCAAAAAGAGGCTGAAGAAGGGAGGGACTAGTTAGTTAAAAGGGTTATCACACAGCAATTAACAACTCCCTGGGAGGTGTTAAAGGCAGGTATTTAAATTTCATAAAGAAATTAAAATCTAAGGAAAATCTTCTTTTCGTATTTGCCTAATATGCACACAATTGAATATAGATGAATTTCTGTTCATTACAAATTATTTCATTAGAACATTTTAGTATCTTTGGTTAGTTCTATAACAAGTTATGGAGCCTAACAAAGTTTTCAAAAGCCAGGCAAATGGAAACACTTTTAATATTTATAATATGAAGTTCACTATGGAAATACCACAATTACTATTATAAAATGCAGTATTTCCAGCATGAATTATTTATGCGACTTACAGTTCCATGCTATTGCAGATATGATTTATATTAATTTTACTAAGTCATTCAGCACCATGCCTCATGATGTCCTTGTATACCAAATGAAAAATACATATATATGAATTGCTAAAATAGCTGGTTGAACAAATATATGCAAAAAGTGTAGATTGATGGGCCATTTTTTACTTAGAGGAAAATTGCTAGTGTAAGCAGGGGACTCTGTCTTAATCCTTGAACTGATTTCCATTTTTGTCAAAACTTGGGGTATAATATGTAAACAGCACAGTGTTGGTAGGAAGAACTATTATAGATGCTAGAATATAATGCAAAATGTATTGACCAAGTGGAACAATAATCCTATACAGTAAGATAAAATGTAATGGACTCTGAATTTCAAAAAGTCAAAATCAAAAGCTCTTTTGATTGAGGATGTCCAGGCTTATAAACAAAGACTAAAAGTTCTTTTAAAAATAAAATTTGATGAGAAAAAAAGGTCTGTTAGAACTGCTAATGCATACTTACCAAGGAACATCAGTACAAAGCATGGATACTGCCCCTCTTTTATTCACCCATACTGGATTATGATGTTCAGCTCACATCTAGGAGGAAGCAGCTAAGATCATGGGGGCTCTGGAAATGGGGCTTTTGAGTAGTAGTTTGCCTTCCCCTCAACAGACTCCAAGGGTAGAAGAGCTATAGAAAGACAACACCAAGGTAAAATGTCATGGATGGGCAGAGGTGTAATTAAGGGAGTTCACCAAAATTCAATCTTCTAACCCACCTTGTTTTGCTACATAGCATTTAAATTTGGGAGCATGGCCTTGAGGTTTAGTTTTAACTGAAAAGTAAGTTTTAGTGCTCTATCCAACCTGCTTGGGTGATTTGAGGATAGGATCTATATTTTGATGTCAGCTGGCTCTTATTTCATATCAGTTTCATCCCTCTTGTTTTCTACTCTCCTAACAACCCTGCAATATGCATTCCTCTATCTTTTTATATTGATGGTTCAATGGGATAGCCACATTGACCAAAAACATTGAGTTTATATTTTCTTGATATAGATTTCCAACTGTCACAGCACTGTTTGTTGAGGACACTGCTTACCCCATGAAGTTAGCTTGGTGCATTTTTAAAAACCTATTGAGCATGTGTATGTGGGTCTGTTTCAGAACTCAGTTCTTTTTCATTGCTCCATATGTGTTCTCCACAAGCTCCTGATAACTGAAGGTGTAAAGTAAGTCTGAAATTCAAGTAATGTAAATTCTCCAACTTTATTGGTTTTTTTTCTGTTGTTGTTGTTCTCCCCAAGTGCTTTGCATATCTTGGGTTATTTTCTGTCCCATGTAAATTGTAAAATAAGTTTGATATTACACACAAATAATTCTTATGTAGCTTTAGTTGGGAGTGCACTTAATAAAAGAAATTGAAACTTTTAAAATACTGAGGGTTCTAAATCATGAATATGGTGTGTATCTACATTTATTTAAGCCTTTTTTTTCTTCTAAAACTTTTCGATATCTCGTTTTATTTGAAATAGTGTTCGATAATTTGCTTTTCACATTGGAAATAATTTTTTTTCCTATATATTTTTTTTTATTTTGGCATATTATGGGGGTACAGATTTTAAGGTTTCAATAAATGCCCGTTTCCCCCCCTCTCCCCACAAGTCTGAGTCTCCGGCATGACCATCTCCCAGAAGGTACACATCTGACTCATTATATATGTATATACCCCCCTCCCCCATCCCACCTGCCCAATACCCTATTACTGTAGTACCTATGTGTCCACTTAGGTGCTACTCAGTTAATACCAGTTTGCTGGTAAGTATATGTGGTGCTTGTTTTTCCATTCTTGGGAAACTTCACTTAATAGTATGGGTTCCAGCTCTAACCAGGAAAATATAAGATGTGCTATATCACCGTTGTTTCTTAGAGCTGAATAGTACTCCATGGTATACGTATACCACATTTTATTAATCCATTCTTGGATTGATGGGCACTTGGGCTGTTTCCACAGCCTTGC